ATTTAATTAATTATATAAATATAATTAATTAAATATAAAAATAAAAAAAAAAAAGATGAGATAATATAAATAACGAAAAATTGAAAAGAAAAATATTGTAACCTGTTTGTATTAAAAAAAAAAAGTGATAGGGATATTAAATATAAATAGATTATGATTAAATAATAATGATAAGAGTAAGAATAAGAATAAGATGGTTTGATTGAAATGAACTAACATGAAAATACAGGTGAACGTGAGACTGTCTGTTGGGAGAGGAAAGACGATAATGACCTTCCACGGAGCTGTACGTAGAAGGAGTAGGAGGGCCTTTGACATACTTGACGCTCCAGGTGAATTGTAACCAAGAACGGTGTGGTAGCTCGTGGTTAGTTTTAACCGGGAGATTGAACGGAACGCGTCTCGAGAGATCGAAAGATTTTGATAAGATTCAAAAATACGCGAGAAAGAGAGAGAGAGAGAGAGAGAAAGAAAGAAAGAAGGAAGGAAAGAGAGAGTAACAAATAGGTCGAGTTTACTCGATTAGTTCAACCAAATTAGTATATATGTGTCTCGAAAGTGATAAGAATGTCAACGAGTGTGCCAATTCTCGTCTATTATGAAACCTTAATGCCACGATCGATAATCGATAATACGATTTTAATCTATTCCCGATGTTGTAATTATATATATTTCGATTAAATTTCTTTTCGTTATTTCATTCGATTGAAGATTGACACGCGAACACGGATGTGCCTACTTGTTTGAGTATTCCAAACAAAAAAAGAAAGAAAGAAAGAAAGAAAGAAAGAAGATTATTGTTCTAAGAAAAACGGCAAAGTAACGTGAACAGTGTGTTTTATCGTTTGAATGAAAAGTGTTAAAAGAGAGAGAGATTACTGAATTTCTATAGAATATTATCTTAGAAAGTAGGTAATATAAGTTTGAAAAATGCATATTAGAAGATCAATAATGTTGGGAAATGTAATCTGGTTCGTTGCCATTCTCATGTTAATCGATTCAACTAGATCGGAACTATTGAATTACGATAAACTTTACTCCTTCGCTAAAACATTTCATTTGGATCAATTGATATCAACAACGAATACAACGGATAACGAACTTTGGCATGGTTTGTTGAAGGATTGTAAAAAGAAAGTGACCTTTTCGTGTATTCAAAAAAATGCGTACAGTTATTTGGACGGTACATTCAGTGATCAAAATAATATCACGATATTCGATGGTTTAACGCTTACGAAAAATAATTTAAATTATGGTACGTGTGGGATAGGAAATAATGATCGGAGGAGTATCGATGAGAATCTGATAGATGATGATAGATCTATGAACAAAAATTGCGAGTTGGAGGATGACGAAAACGATGATAAAGAAAACGATGCGAATGGTACGAGAAGACGTGGTAGAATGATGGATGAACGACCTAAATCACCGTTGGAAGAAATAACCGATGCACTTAGGCAAAAAGCTATGAAATTTTTGGTTACGAGAAATTACGAGATTGAATTGCCTAAAATTTTGTTCGAAGGTACAACGATGAAGATAAGTCCACGACAAATTGACGATACCGGTGCACTAATTAGATTAGATTTCAACCAAGGTAGTGGTGTCAGTAACGAGGGAAGAATATTTAAGAAAATAAGTAAGTTAGAAAGTATTACATTAGTATTATATACATGCAATCTAGGTTATTATTACGTCAAATGGAAATAATAATATCGACATACATACATTTTTTTTTTCCTTTCAGAAAAATTCATACAGAACAAATTGATATTTAGTTTTATAGCATTGATATTGATCATCAAATTGATCAAAGTGAAATTTTTATTCGTAATACCATTCTTATTCGGAGTTGGTGCTGCAAAGAAATTATTCTTAAAATTATTACTCTTCCTTATACCACCGTTTGCTCATATATTTAAATTGTGCTCGAGTTTCTATACGTCACATGGACCGAAATATCATCATCACCATCATCAGGTATAACACAATCTTATATTATTATTATTATTATTTTTATTTATAACTTTATTAAGTAAACTATAATATCTATATTCTTAACAGATTGCCCATCATCATCACCACGTTCCCGTTCCAGTACCGGTACCAGCTTACTATGATCACCATCATCATCACGAAGATGATTTCAATGGTTATGATTACGCTCATCCCCATATACAATATCGGAAAGACGTGGAAGAATTGAAAGAGTGGGGTATCGAGCCGTACGATGATTTATACGAGGATACAACAAACAAACACGTTCCTGGTGTTTTACCAGCACCAATGAATAATCCAATTTCTGAATATCCAACAGGAACTAATTACAATAATCAATATGGTATTCCCCAATATGCAGCAAATGTTAGACCAGTTGTAGTTTCACCATCGTACAAAGACAAATATCCTCTTTCGATCTCAGCTCACGCACATAATTTGGCCTACTCGGGATACCTCGATGACAAATACAATCGTCGTGTTGTCGAACCCAATGGTATATCTACTTCCGTTAAGTCTGTCAACGTTCTACCGGGTGTTCCAGTAAAACAACCAATAACGAACGTGAAGAAAAATACTTACGGGATTCTAAGTCAAGCTAATGTTAGACAGGCTGCAACTGTACCGAGGATAAACAAGGTCGTTGCTACTTCGAAAAATTCAATCGTCTCGTCGTCGTCAGTTACGCAGACATACGACGATGATTATTACGGACCTATAATTAATCGTTTGGAAGATATTTTTGCACAATTGAGATTCTTCGATGAATCTTGCCGCGAGAGGCTCATTTGCAGCATGTACAAAAATCCAACCGTTTACTCACCTCACAGTAATCTAGTCTCGAACGAATTATCCAGGTATAAACGTATATACATTTATAAAATTATATTTCATTTGGTTTGATATCGATTGTTAATAAGTATAGTTAAGAGAAAGGCGGTAATCGAAGTAACAATAATCGGGTCATCTCAGATCGGTGGATAATCACGTTCCGTCTTCGCTTCTTCATTTATATTTTCTTTATTTATTTATTTATCATTTTTATTGATTACTTTCGTCAATGTTAATTGCTTTTATTTCATGTTTTTTTTTTTTATTAACTCTCACGTTATAAAAGAGATTACAAACGATAATTATTTTTTGGATATATTTGGATTTAAATATATACGATATAAAGTAATTAATAGAATTATTTGATAAAATCATATCGTTTTGTTTTTCAGAGATCCGCAAGAATTGAAACGTGGCACGTTGGAGAGTGCTTCAAGTCAAAAGTTTCATAAATATTTGAACGCTGCTAGAATAGGTCAAGATCGTGGCGATTGCGTACGAACGTATCCCTGTCACATAAATACGGAATAAAATATTATTTAATTTTGTAACACACACCTGTGTGTCTTTATGTGTGTGTGTGTGTGCGTGTGGTTTATTATGATACAATAAATAAAGATGTATGTGCATCTCATCTAGCGGTAATTAGATAATCTGTGTGAGAAACTTATATGCGTGGCACGTTATTCTAACTTTCCATGAAGTTAGACGACGCGTTTAAACCAGTGAAGTGTTTGCTCGTTCCTCGATACACGACGTTTTATATTTTAACAATATTGCCATGATTAATGTTAAGTGTGAAAATATTCCATGTAAAAAAAAAAATTATACCCTTTCCATAACACCAGTTTCTATCGAATCTGACGATAATTTAGATTCGATCCATCGTTACAGCGATGTCTCACGTTATTTTTAATAATATCATTGTCAATGCCGAGTATTAATTAATTTCATTCATCTAATTTGTTTTGTATAAATGTATGAATTTAAAAATATTTAGCCTTGACAAGATATCGCTAATTCGTTAGATATTACACCAACAGGTATATATAATATTATGTGATTTTTATATAATAAGATTTGCAGTAAATTATATTATTTATTTATAATGTTGCGTTTCTCTTTTCAGTATTTATTCCTTTTCAAGTGTTTTTTTATTTTTTTTTCAATAATTTTGATTATTTATCTTTAATTTAAGTTATTATTATTAAAATTGATTATACACTTACGTACTCGGGTGCCATACCCAATGTTTCTGAACAATCATTCAATAAGTCTCTCGACATTTGCATGTTTTACTTGTCCGATCTGTTGTACATTGTTAATTATTATGTCACATGAAAATCCTAAAACAAATCCTAAATGATAATTATACGCATTGTTGTTTTATTCTGTACAATAAATCATTGATCAAATATTTGCATTTTCTCTTTTTTCTGTGTTTCATTCTTAAATGATTAAACAAAATATATTTTAAGAATTTGTTTATTTCTATATCTTCGAAATATATATATTATAAATAAAAATAAAGATATTGAGTTTAGTAAAAAATAATAAATGGAATAATCGAAAGTAGCAGTGACATACAGTTAGCCTAAATAATAATGAATGATCTATAGGATCGTATGAATGCGATTATGAATGACGAAGATAGAATTTTAATTATTGTTAAGAACTTGTAAACGAATTCTTGACCGAGAACCTAAATAAACTTAATATATTACAATCTTGGAATGCAGGAAGTCGTAAATGAAAAATAATTAAAAATTAAAAAAAAAAAAAAAGTAGATTTATTAGCTTTCAAAGAGAAGCATAATGCACCTGCAATAAATTAACCTGTTCAAACAACACTGGTAATAAAATCCTATCGTTTTTATATCAACTGATATAAAACAACACTTGATACAAACACACTTTAACAATAATTTTATATTATTTAATTGGATGATCTAAGAATAAAAATACTAAAAACTAAATAGACCATTGTTGCTAATATTTAATTGTAATTTAAATTATCAAACAAAAAAATGTTATATTAACGTATACATACGAATAAATTGATACATCAGGTATCCCAAGTCGAGTTTTGTTTAACCTTACGTAAAATTGAAAACGTGGATCTGTGGGTATGAAAATAAAACAAAAAATATTTATTCCAGAGGGAAGGAATTAATCGAGTCGTGAAAACATTGGCACCCTAGATAACGAAGCTTTCTTCTTTCCTTTCGGCAAGCAACACGTCGTCGTCGTAGTCGTTGTCGTTGTCGTTGTTTCCTGATCAAAATTCATCGTTCGTTCGTATCCTACCATCGGCTATAAAACCGCGTTGTCTTCGTGTCGAAGTGGCATTCGGTGTTTAGTCTCGCGAATCGTTAGTATCAACCATGAGGATCGTGATCTCATTTGCTTATACTTTAACCCTACTTGTCGCGTTAGGGCAAGCACAAAATGTTCCCACCACGGCTGAAGTTCTTACGAATATTTATTACAGGTAAGTATTATATAAAATAGAAAGAAACTAAAGAAAATGAAATCATCGAATTAAATTGTTCATTTGAATTAGGAAAATAAAACGAAAAACTTAACCAATAAATTAACGATCTTATATATTTTGTTACAGGTGTGCTGATAGCAAATCAATGTTGTCATGCGTAAGACCTAAAGTTTTGTCTTATCTGAGCGACGCTGCAAAACAAGAAAAACTTGCAATCACGGAAGATTTGTCGATAATCAAGTCGCGAGAAATAATCGAAGAGAATCCTGATGAATATTACCCAACGAAGTATGACATCGTTGATCCAGCAAGGAAAGAATTACTTCGATCATTGATGCTCGAAAAGGTTGACGCTTATTTGTCCAGTCATACTCTCGAAGCTAAATTACCTGAAGCAATAGTTGGATCGAATATCGTACCAAGATCGTTAGTAGAAAATGTTCCTAAGAGTTTAACCGTACCACTCAGTGATTCCTCAAATGGACAAGGTAACGACAAATATTTTTTCGGGGTTAAAATCAATAATTGGACAAAAAAAAGAAAAATTAAGAGGAAAAAAATGATAATGAATTGTTAAGATTAAATATAATGTCATTTTCAGGACGTGGTTTCGTGAAGAAAGTGATGATTCCTTTCCTATTGGGTCTCAAGTTCAAGGCCACCGCATTGGTACCCCTGGCATTAGCTCTGATCGCAATGAAAACGTGGAAAGCTCTTACTCTCGGTCTTTTATCAATGGTTTTGAGCGGTGCAATGATGATATTCAAGTTAACTAAGCCTAAGGTTGCTTACGAAGTTGTACATTATGGACACCCACCAGTTGAACATCCACCTCATTGGGATACTTCAGCTCATGGTCCATACAGAGCCTATAGGAAATAGGAATTCACATTTTTTCTATTGATACCTCATTAGATTGTTTATATATATTTAATATTATTTATTCATGCGATTCGCCTGTCCTCTTACCCCCTTTTTTATTTATAAAAATTGAATAAAAAAAAAAGAAAAAAAGCAACACGTTACATTTTCTCATCAAATTATTTTCTTTTTTCTTCATCCCTTGCTGTATAAGTATTCTAGAACAAATTAAAAGTATTTCTTTTTTTTTTTTTGTTGAATATATTCAGTATTACGTATGTATACTCGAGATTAGGTGAAACGAGAAAGCGAAATTACGTCCCTTCCATCACGATTAGCTAGCGAAAGCTCATTATTGTTCTTTCGGTCAGGAAAGTTTGTGGAATCCCTTTTTAAAACGTGCGTGTAAACTTGTTAGACGTGATTCTATCTAACCTTGATACAAAATAACAACGTGGGACGATATACTAAAGTGAGTTAAGTTCGACTAATATACAAAAAGAAGGTTAATAATAAATTATAATGATGTTCGAACGTGAACGTAGAAAGTTGTTACTTTACACCTTTGTCGGTTTGAAAGAAAAAAAAAACAACACTCGGAATAAAAATATATATTTATTTCCTAGAGTATATATATATATGAATAATTCTTTTTTCTTTTTCTTTTTTTCTTGCTTTCTACATTAACCAGCATTTTAACGATCATTTCGGGGAAAATGAACGAACGTTAATTGAAATTCATTGTATAAACAATTGTCGTTTGTATGCTGAAACAAATAACGCGATGACTCGGTGTTCCAATTGTTCATTTATTTCTCGACAACGAAATTAATTATTATTCGTGTAAGTAATAATAAAAAGTAGAGAATATATAATAAGTAGAAGATAAAAATGGAAATAGAAAGAAAAGAAAGAAAGAAAGAAAGGAAAGAAACAAAAGTGTCTCGTGTATCCTCGATATTCTCGTACGAGAAACTCATGCGCGACACGCATTTACGATAGTTAGGTCATTCCTTTTCTCTCTCTCTCTCTCTTTCTCTCTCTCTCTCTCTCTCTCTCTCTCTCTCTCTTTCTATTTCTTTTAAGTTGTTCCGCGTGAGACCGACGTGAAGAGACATTTTAATTATGCCTTTAGACGGGGGGTGAAATTAACACAACTATGACGGATTGTCACGCGTGGGTAAAACGTGGGGGTGGGGGAGGACGGAAGAGGAAAGAGAGGAACGTTGTTTTAACGGAGCAGACGCGTGGAAAGTCGTGTTCGTGTTGAGAATTAAAAATGATCGTTGTGTGCTTCAATGCCAATGTTACAACGGTGATCATTTACGAAAGATACTTCGAGTATTTATTTCCTACCCTTACAACACACGAAAGCCCGATTATATTTCCGTTCTCAATTGTTCCGTTTCGATTATTACACCGGATATAGTTATCAATATATATTTTTCATTAACATTTAATTAAAATTTTAAGAAATTTATTTTTTAATCATCGAATATTATATAATATATATATATAATAAACATTTACGATGTTAGAGAAAATTAGAGTAAGTTTAAATAATAACATTGAAAGTATATATATACCTAACTTGATTATAATTAATTAAAAATAAAAAAAAAATGAACGATGACATCGATCACGATTACTGTGCTATATTTAAATGATCGTACCTTAAACAGGTGAAAAGAAGATAATAATATATTCCTGATCGGAATGAATTAAAACGGGCAGGACGGGGGGCTCCGTGTCAAATTGGAATTTCGAATATCGTCACGTAGACGAGAGTTAACTTTCGTTAGAAATCGAAGAAAGGGTTTAACGGACAACAAAAATTCTTAATTAAGTAGTCGATTAGCGAAGTAAGTCGGAAAGAAAATCGAATAATATAGCGAGGGGGCAGGGAGGGGGACCATCGGGTTTCGTTAATCAGGTATGACGATCGTTGATAGAAAACAAATTTATCTGAGGGGGACGGTGGTGGCAGGGGGAGGGTGTAGGGGGTACATTTAATGAATTTCAAATTCCATGGCGTAATTGGTGTATTAAAAAATGGGTCTGTATGTCCCATTGGCCCAGACAAATTCGTATCCCCTCCCCCCCATTAGGTGTTAAATAAATCGTAAGTATATCAATGTATTATATTAGAGTTCATAGAGTGAATTGTCATTGGTTAATTGTTTATTCCATTCACGATCGAAGCCGAGGCCTCGATAATCGAAGACCATACTGAACGAAAAGAAAATTCGTGGTCATGCCGGTGAATTGGTTGGTGAGGTCGGGTGGGGTGAGGTGGGGGTGGTAGGGGGGCGTTCAGTGAGCGTACGTACGCATCGTGCATCCTGGACTTACCGATGTTACGATTCGACCATTGGCCTGTCGTATAAATAGCGACATGCCCAACCCATTGGCATCAGTCGTGGTATAAACGTCTTTCTAAGACACTTCGAGGACGAGGACGAGAACGAACGCGAGCCCCATCGTCCTATTATTATTATCATCTTCTATTTTTTTATCTTTTTGGGATATACATATATTTATAAGAATCCCTTATCGTTGTTATCGTAATCGTAATCATCATGAAGTTCTTAATAATCTGTTCGTTGATAGCGTTGGTCGTGGCTCAGCCAGCGAAAAATGAACTCTGGAAGGGTACCAATTTGGATCAAATGGTCGATCAGACCAAATCCGAGTGCGCGCAGAAAAACGACGAGGTATCCTGCATGAAGTTCAAAGTTCTCAATCTTCTCGATCAATTATTCCGCAAGGACAGCTTCAAGGTAATAATGAAAAGGACATCTTTTTAAGACTAAATATCATAGATCACACAATTGGATTTTCTTTTCATTACACTTCGTAACAGTTATTGGTTCATTATATTTTTTGTTTGTTCGTTAAGGTATCCGAGTCAGTGGAGGTAACACGTAACTCGTATCCAGCCGAAGATGTGTCTGCACGCGGTGAAGGATCATTCATCGATACCGTACAATCCTATTTGACTACTCACGACGTAACATTTAAATTACCACTGGAATCTACCGTCAAAGTTAGCTCGAGAAACATCGACGACGACAGGATTACCTTTGACGTCCAGTTTGGTCAAGGTCGTGCCGTTGAAGAAGCTCGCAAATCTAAATTGAAGAAGGTCGTCATACCGATTCTCGTGTTCGTCCTGTTGAAGGCCATGACACTGATTCCATTGGCCATTGGTGTTCTTGGATTGAAAGCATGGAACGCACTTCAATTGTCATTCTTCAGTTTCATCATTTCCGTAGGCATGGCCATTTTCCAACTTTGCAAAAAGATTGCAGCCGAAAACCACGCTGCACCCCTTGCCGCTCATGGTCCTTGGGAATATCAAACGCAATACAGATCATTCTCGAATCAAGAACAAGAACCTTCCTCGCAATACGCGCAAAATCTCGCCTATTCGGGATACGCACAATCGTAAAATAAAAAGAAACAATGATAATTATTATCAGAATAATTATATCCACACTTGACTTTTGTAAAATAGCTACTTTCCTTTTTTTTCGCGTTGTTGTAGAATTTATTTAATAAATTATTATTATTATTATTGCAACTTATATATGTGATGTTATTTTTAATATATTTTATTTTTTATCCTTTACCGAATATTTTTAACACAATGCGTCAGACGTATCGATTTTTCTAAAATACCTACTTTCTTGTTTCTATGTTTTATTTTATTTTTTCTTTTTTATTATTAGTAGTTTTTTATTATTAGTATTGCAATCAAATTATATTTGAGATTTTCTTCTAACCACTTTTTGAAAATGATATCACATGTAATTTTGACATGTGTAAAATTACGACTTTCCTGTTGGTGTCACATTTATTTAATAAATTATTATTATTGCAAATCACATCGTGTTATTTATAATTTACGAATACTACCTCTATGCAAAACTTTATTAAATGAAAAAATAAATAATATTGTACACAATAATTATACGTCCGTAGTTATTATTTCGTTCAATTGAGAAATAATTTATTGAATGTATTACTCATATGTTAATCAAACAAACGATATTGAATGTTTCTAATCATCTTTTATATCATATAAAAATAATTTATTGTATTAAACGTATTAATTAAATGTGGCTGTCATAATGATTAATTATAAGTTTAATTTATTTCTATAATTTATTTCGATGTGATAAAATAATAATTATTTTCATGAATACACGAATGATAATTATTAACGATGCAATATATATTCTAATCGTATCGAATAATATAAATATAATACACTCTTAAAGTGTGATTTAAAATAATGATACAGAATATGTTAGAAATTATATATGAAAAATATAATACTTTTTTATATGGAATAAATTATACTTTATTAAATTATGTTGGTTTCTACGGAAATTTGAATTGAATGAACAGGTTTTATAAATGTCTCAAACATTTTCTGTACATTCATTTTAACAAAATATAAAATGACACCGAATCTAATAAAAAAATAAAAATAAAATTCTATTTGCTTGATCTACATACTACATGTGAGAAAGTTGTCAACCCGTTGTTATAAATGCGCTTTCAAATATAAATTCACTTTCACCGTTGTGTCCACGAAAATTGACAATAGGTTGGGATACTCGTGTAATAAAAAAAAAAAAAGAAAAAAAAACAAATTTACAGGAAAATAAAATACAAAATAGTTGTAAAAGTATCATGGAAACGAGTAGAAAGTGTCATAGTAAGTCATAGTTGAATTACATTCGACACGTAACGAGAACATATATATATATGTGTAATATAAAATTCACATCCAACGAAAACAAAAACCTAACATCGTGCCGATGAATGAATGAACGAACGAACGAATGAATGAATGAATGAGATCAATTCGTGTCACCTGACTCGACGAAATAATTTGTCATTTAACGAAACTAGTCAGTGAAATTAATGACTAATTTAAAACGAAAGAAAAAACGCAAATTAATGTTACTAAAAGGTATGAATAGAATTTGATGGGGGAAAGTAGAGAAAAACTTTGCGCGTTTTCATTAGTTTTCAAATTTGAAGAAATAGTTGAAAAATAAACCGGACTTTAAATGATAATGATGGATGGATAAGTTTTATGGTGCAGCTGGTGCAACTGGAGTCCAAGTAAGAACACCGATGAAAGAAAATACTTATGTTAAAGAGAGAAAAAGAGAAAGAGAAAGAGAGAAAGAGAGACGAAGGGGGTAAGTTCCGTTTCCCGTGTATCACCTAGTAGGTATCGCATGCCATGGTGTACGACGTACGCGACATTGTACGCGAGAAACAAGACGAAGACGAAGAAGAAAACGAAGACGAAGACAATTCCGACAAACGTAGGCGCGTTATTCGTGTACGTATAGGGACTGGTTGGTCTATGCCAGTGAAATTTGAATAATTTTCCTTCCATCGTTGATTCCCGGCATGCGCGACCGAATAACATAGATTCATGGGGGGCAAATTAAATAAAAGGGGCGGGCCACTCCTCCGTCAGTCGCAGTTCGATCGCCGATCGTTCGTACGCACGAGGAGGAGTCCAAAAACAACACACACATTCATATTTTATTATTTTTTTTTTTATTTACAATCATCATCATTAGAGATAATAGATCATTTCGTTTACAATAGAAATCGATCGTATTAAAGTGTGAAACTTCGAAAGTGATTAGAAACAAGTCTGGTGCGCGAATTTAAAAAGAAATAATGACGATCACGAGAGCGATATTACCGATTTTGTTGGTGGCAGGATCGATCGCGTTAGGATCATCCAATCAGGATCTTCTGACGAATTCTTTGAACCACTGCATCCCGGCGGAATCTTGGTCTAATTGTTTAAAACACGAGATCCTCGAATACCTCGACGAAAAGTTGGGTACAGTAACTGAAGCAAGGTCTCTTGATACCGTTGACGAAGCCATCGTTGCTAGGACTTTCAAGTATCTCAAGAGTTTCGACTATGGCATGGATTTACCCTTCGTAGACGCCAGTTTGAAATATAGGCCTAGCAGAAGTTTGGCAGATCTCGACATAGAGTTTCAAGGGAACGACGTTGTTAACAATCAGGCTCGTGGATTACTTAAGAAGAAATTGTTACTGCCATTTTTGCTATTGTTGAAATTGAAACTAAAAGCACTTATGCCAATATTAGTTGCTATTATTGGATTGAAAGCATTGAAGGCTTTAGTTCTATCTAAACTCGCTATATTATTGGTCATCGGATTCCTCGCTGTACAATTTTTAAAGAAGGGTGGCATGATGATGCCTATGGGTAAATGTGAAATAATAATAAATATCATTGAAATTCTGTTGCGTGTTAATAAATAATTATCGACAATGTTCTATTATCTCGTTTAAACAATACATTTGTTTCTTTTCTTTTAGGTATGTCGATGGAACCGGCTACTCCCCCATACGGAGCTCCACCTATGCCCTCGACCACGTCGAGTTATGATCCGGCCAACACATGGGACGGAACCGGCCCGTATTCCCGCGTTTGGACCCCGACCAATGGTGTGGAGTCACAGAATCTAGCGTACAGTTATTATTCACCTAGCAGTGGTTCCAGCTCCTATAGTTCTCTCGGTTCACCTTCATCGTCATCATCTTCATCGTCATCTTCTTCATCGTCAAGTGCTGGAAGCCCGTCGAATTATTAAACGAGAAAAAAAAAACAAAAACAAAAGAAAAAAGGAAAAAAGGCTAATAATTTTTGAGCTATCAATTATTAGTCGCAATGCCGTATCGATCATTATTCGTCCAGACCAAAGATGTTTAATAACAAAATATCAATTGACACGCTAATCGATACGAAAATTCATATTTTCGATAAGCATAACACCATTTCTCTCTCACCGCTTTTCTATTTTTCTTCTCTCTCGTAGATTAACTTTTTGTTTATCTTTTTTTTTTGTTTCTACGTCTTTGAAAAAAAAGATCTTCTTCTCATCGATCATTTCATGCGTTGGACGTACTTTGATCTATCTGATCGAAGATCGGTAAATAATGCCGATCGATAATTTTGATAATTGTTTTTTTTTAATTTGTTTTTCTCTTTTTTCTCAAATGAAATTCGATGGATCATAGTAGCACGATTTATCCCATGATTTATATTTATTGTTCTCCGCGTATGTGACATTTAATTATTTATTATTGTTATCACATTTGTTAATAAAAATGCATTTCTCTTCTGTAACATTTTGATTCCTGTCTCGTTCATTTCTTTTAATCGTTTCAACGATATTATACAATTGTTAGAATATATAAATGCTGTGTTTAGATGAAAAGCTTATATTTAATTTGTTTGTTTGTTCGTTTGTTGTTCAATTTACAAAGTTGCAGTATGCAACGTGAGTATTCTTTTCAGACATTCATTCACCATTCTTTGAAGTATAACGCCTGTACGAATGTTACTATACTTGCAACGAGTAACATGGGTTATCATAGTTTAGTCAAAATTAAAAAATTGTAAATATATCAAGGAATAATTACATTAATTAATTAAATATAATATATGAGTGGGTTGACAAATCTTAAGCTTGACAAAAAATATTTCTAATTTATTTCTTTTTCTTTCAATAAAAATTATTTTGACCGAAAAAGAAATTGTTTACGCGTTAAGCCAAATACTTTTCAATTCATCCATTTATATACTTTATACGCATACAGTTTAAATTTGTATAGGAAACAAAAAAAATCAACGGCATATAAAAATAAAAATATAAAATTGAAGATATTTTGTTTTTTATAAAATGCTGTGGGGAATATACATTTTTAGATTAAAATCATCGTTTGTTTAATTTTTTATTTGTTGCAATGAATTATTTTCTTTTTATTGCAATTACTTATCTTAATTGCAATAATTTATTGTAATAAAAAATATTCTTTTTTCATTGTATCGCGAATGATTAGACGAATTTGTGTTGATTATACTTAATACCATGCGACGTATATTCGCATAATTATGAATTATTTGAATGTAATTTATAAATTATTGTTCGTCGGCAACGTAGGAAACGATAAATGATCGATAAAATGTTTTTCAAAAGTCTCGAAGATTAGAATCATTTTGTTGATTATATTTCTAAGATTTAATTTTTCCTCTCACAATTTTGATACTTTTTAATAATAACGGTGTTACGATTCGTCAAAAAATCGTTAAAAGCTACATTGTTGACGGTCGGTGATGAGAAATAAAGTTTGCATAGATGTCGTTTTCGGTATGTGAAGATATTTACGTGCAAATCTTCACAAATTTGCAATATAGTTAAACTATTTATTTATATTATAACGAAATAAAATAAATATTATCTACTATCATATAGATTGAAGAAACTTTAATATAAAAAAAAGAAACAAGTTTTATCGTTAATTAATTAAATTAAATTAAATTAAATTAAATATACAATTTGTCAAGATTGCATATCGATCATGTTTATTATCGCAAAAATATTCGAATAATATACAAATTTTCATATAATATAATTATCGTACGATTATAGGATAAAAATTTTGCATTCATTTGTTGCCTAATTCAATGACATAATTTCTTACGAAAAAAATAACTCTGACACAAACGTGACGTTAATGATGCTCGAATTTACGATTCTTTATTTCTTTTTTATTTTTGATATAGCAATATTTTTTGCGATACATTTATTATTACAAATATAGAAAAAAAAAGAAAAAAAAAAACGAAATAAGTATGAGAATGATTGGAAAAAGGATAATAAAATAGATTTGCAAGTATAATCCAGGTAATTTGAAGGAGAATCATAGATACATACAATATAATCGAAAGGGTTTCGTTGTTGATAGAACTTCATTGCAATATGGTGGTAGAAGCTCCAATGCCCCACAAGGAAATCGACATAATCCGCTTTGGAGCCCTCGTCCCTTTAACCGCTTGACCACAGGATTTTCTACTCTAAGGATATCGACCTTTCTCAGGACATGAGATAGAAAGAATAAGTAAAAGAGATAGAAAACAAACTACCACGTCTATCTTCAAGTAGTTTCGTCATTGTAAAGCCACTTGACGTTTCTTACTAACCGTGAAAAGATTTGCAAATTATGTTTGGTTGAAAAAAGGAAATAACGAGTACAACTTGGGGATCTTACCGAGAAACGAAGATAGAGAAAAAAAAGAAAAATGTCCGCCATTACGTTCGACGAAATTCACGTTGATTGTATTTTTCTTTTCTTTTTTCTTTTTTTTTTTTTTTTTATTTATTTTAATCGATCCGAAATTTATCAAGAAATTTTGACGTCTCAACGTTTACGACGATGGAAAGGATTGAAGAAATTTTATTAATGTAAAACAGTTTATATTACATAACCGAACATAATTATTGATTTCGATCAAAATTAATTCAAAGTTTTTACTCTTTAAAAATCAAAACTTTTCAATTAATCCTATTCACATTGGATTCTTTTTAAATAATTATCAATACTTTAATATACACGCAATATTTATTATTTCCCAGAGTAATATGTCCTAAAAATAAAAATTATGAAACTTACTCAATTAGCAAGAAAGAAAAAAGAAAATGGAAGAAACATTTTAGACGAAATTTTATAAAATATAAAATTAATAAAATNTATATATATATATCGATATTGTTTGATTATAAACGATAATCCTAAAGAAGTATTAATTAGTCAGTTAACGTAAACGTTCCATATTTGTTAGACAAAAATTTATGGTCGCGCCAGTCACGCACCTCGGAACGAAGAAAAGAAGAAGACCTTTGCGTGTGACGCAATGTATATACGCTTTAACGATGGCATTCACTTCGCGCATAGTAGATACACATACACACACATACGTCTGTATACATGTATGTATAGTAAACGTACATATATACAAGGAACGACTTGTTGCATTATATTTATACCTGATTCTTATCCTTCATGCACTTTCTTCGAGTTCATAGGCGTTTGTACTTTCTTTCAAAAGGTGAGGAAATTCCATAAATTAGAAAAATAACGAAAATCACGATTATTAATTTCCCGCTTTTGATTCCCAATCGATTAATTTAATAAACATCTGAATTATATACGATCGTTTCCCTCTCTCAACGAAAATATTTTTATTCAAGTTTTTATTTAATAAAATTCTATTCATAATATTATAAATTTTATATTCAAACCCCCAACGATTATATGGAAAAAAATCAATTTTTTCCCCCGTAATATAATTAAACTTCGCTTGAACGGATAATTACGAGGATGGGTTCGATTCTTTATCTATCGATCGATAGAATCGAATCTATCAGAACGCTCAACGCGTTTCGTTTCCTGTACACTATTCTCGTAATAAAATAAAAAAAATGAAACTTCATCAACTATACGTATACACGTGTATACGCGCAAAGATGGAATAAGGGAGAATGCAATCAGAAAAAAATAAACAAAAGTAGAAGAAAAAAACAAGAAAGAAAATTATAAAATAGATATAAAAAAAAACAAAAATGAAAGAAATAAAAACGTTGTACGCGTTTCCAAATCCAAGCTGCACCGTTCGCTTTTTTTTCTGTTTGTCCTTTTCCCTCTCTCTCTCTCTCTCTCTCACTCTCGTTCGGGGAAGATTAAAAAAAAAAAAAGAAAAAAATGTTCTTCGAAAACTGGAGATCCTTTGTGGGCGTTTATTCGTATAAAGCAGGGCGTACGACTACTTCTGATCGAGAAAATGAAAAAGAAAGAAAGAAAGAAAGAAAGAAAGAAAGAAAAAGAGAAAAAAAAAGAAAAGAAATAAATAAAGAAAGAAAGAGACAGGAAGAGGAAGAGAAAAAGGTGCAGAAGGAGGGGGGTGGAGGGGTGGGAGGGGGAGGAAACTGTCTGGGGGTGCAACGTATGCCACGATGAGTGTAGGTGCCTGTTACACAACCGGAAGTACTTCTTCTCTCTACCGGGGATGGAAAAAGAAAGTTCTTCCTCGTGAACCAAAATCCGCTCCTCACTCTCTCTCTCTCTCTCTCTCTTTCGTAATTCCCCCTTTTACGTATACACTACGCCATTTTATTTTCTTTTTTCTTTTTTTTGTTCTCGATACATATCACGTAAGCTGTTCTTCCTCGTTCGTATGTTATAATATAGAACTGCTACATTTTTTGTTCCTTTCTTTTTTTTTTTTTTGTTTTTTTCTAACATGACAATAAATCATATCGTCGTATGCTACTTTATTACAGCGTTCGTAAAATTCTTTTTAGTTTTTTTAATCATTTTTATGAATTAATTAATTTGCAAAAAAAAGAAACGAACACGAAGTGTGTGTATTTAATATAAGTTCAATTATTTACGAATATTACGAATTTCATTTTTATCATCAATATTATAATATGATAATATGTATATAATTATTCCGAACTATGATTTTTTAGATCACCGAACTGCATTAGTATGAAATTAATATTTCTTTTTTGTCTTTTTTTTTTCTTTTCTGAAAAAAATATAAAGTTCAAATATTATCGATCAATCGGTATTGATGATAAGATATTTTTCTTGATAGCATAATGAATACGTTCTTTTTTTTCGATAGTAAAAGATAAATTCGTCAAAATATTACCTGTTCTTAACTAATTTAACACTAACGATTTGATTAGTTTGATCATAGTTCGTTAAAATTTGTCCTAACTTGTTGCATTATGAAGTATTATAT